ATTGAATAAATATTATTAAAGAAAAAATATAATGCATATACAATTATTTTACCATAGTATGACTTATAATTGTTGACAAAGCAACACTATTAACCGAATTCCGTTGATAATTGTTTTTTCGATAGCAATGGTTAATCGTTGTTTAAAGATTTACATTTAATTTTTTCTCTATCTTCCTAACTTCTCACCAAAAACAGTGGCCCACCCACATGCGAAGTATGTTCGTCTTTTTAATATTAAATGTGCAATTTTAAATGTATTTCACCGAGATCAGGATACAACTGGAGATTTGTTTAAAGAACAAACATGCAGACATTCAAATGTATATAGTATAATAGGTTAAATAAAACGATTTTATATTATAATATAAATTGATGGTCAATTATCAACTGACGAGCAGGACGCTGCAAATTTATTCTCCTCCTACTTTTCCTCCGGTTATTCAATTGAAGCTATTGATGTTGATGTACTACCTAGAGCCTCCACTTTCGATTTACACAAATATATCCTTTCTCTGTGGATAACGTGTTTCTTGGCTTATCTGCATTACGTGGTGTTCAGTCCATTGGTCCTGATAATTTACTGAAGAGTTTGTTTTTCAATTATGATATATTATAACAGCGTAGTTCTTCTTTTGCTTTCTAGATGTTCTTTCGATAAGAGTGTGTTTCTGCCTATCTTGAAACTTAATTCTGTAACACCTATTCTATAATCAGATAATGCCGCTGTTGTAAGAAATTATCGAACGATATCGATTCTTTCCTATTTATCTAAATCATTTGAATCTATTGTTTTAAACAGTATTAAACGATCAGTGAATAGTATAATTATCGAAGAATAACACGGATTTCATACCAAGTGATGTGCAATCACCTATAATTTAGTATGTGTAATTTCATATTTGATGCCCTTTAAATGCGTTCTCAGGTAGATGTCCTTTACACTGATTTTTTTAAAGCTTTTAACTCAGCCAATCATAAAGTTCTGTTGAAATTTTTAGAGACTACCGGATTTGATGATCCTTTACTGTCAAGGTCTAAATATATTTTCCTTTATAGAAAATATTGTGTTAAGGTATTTGGTATTAAATTTAATATATTCTCGTTTTTGGTGTACCACAGGTGGTTATCTATCACCTATACCATTCTTATTATTTGTTAATACGGTACGTAATGCTCTATCTACTGCTAGAATACTATATTTCGCAGACGGTATAAAAATATTTTTGGAAATAAAATCTGATTAATGAAATCTTTATTAGCATTAGGCTTAAAACTTAATGTTGTTAAATGCCAGGTAATGACTTTTTCCTGGTCTAATAACCCAATTTTATGGACTTATAAAATCTCTGATATTAATATTGTACGTCTTTGACAGTATAGTTGACCTTGGTTTCAAATTATCAAGCAACCTTAATCCGAGAGAACACGCTTCAATGATTTACTATAAAGCATTTGAAGTTTTAAGTTTTATTATATGATTATCTAAAGATTCTGACGATCATTAAAATATTTATATTGTATACTAATTCGATCTATCTTAGAATATGGATCTGGAATCCTTCTACGGCGACCTGGTCAAGTCAGCCTGAATATGTGCAGCGTAAATGTTTGAGATCTGTTGGCTTCTCTTTAGGTATCCTACATGCGTGCCTTATGATTATTCTCCTAATGCCGAATTATTTTAACTATTTTGAACGCTAAGCGCAAAGTTCTTCCACGATATCTTGTTTAATAGGATCGATTTTCCTACCTTACTACCTTTGGTAAATATTAAAATTTTTACTCGTTTTAAACGTTCTAATACAATTTTCCATATTCTTGGAGCTACTGCGACCTACTAAAAAAACGAATCATTTAGACGTCTAATGACTATACCAATAATGGCATTAGACACCCTTACCTTCTTGGATTTGTACTTATGTCTAATACTCATTTCCTTTTGTAGGTACATATTTTACAGTTTTCTTAAGTCATAGATAGATGAATAGAATAGATAATCATTTGTTATTTAACTGTAATAATTATTGTTTTATTAAATAAAATTTAATCGAAATCTTCGCTGGTTTGTAATAATGAAAAATAGAAATAAACACACATTATAGTTATGCCCGGTATAATTTTGCAACGTAACGTTTTTATTCGGTATTGTAAACAATGTACACGCTACACTTGCATTTCTAACTCGCCCGTTGAGTGTTATTCTTATTATTAAGGGTGTAGTTAGAGCCGGAACTATTTTTCAATAACTACTAAAAACCGATTCTTACATTCAATCGTCTATAGTATTTAATCGGACTCCAATGTTCGTTTTAATTTTATTCCGTTAAGTCGAGTGAAACTCCTAAGAAGTCCTCTGTAGCAGTGTTTCTCAACCTTTCTATTATGGTGATCCCCTCTTCCTAAAAAACGTTTAATTTAATAGTCTATATGTTTACATATTTTGTAATTGTATATACTCTTAATTGATACAGATTACCATTAAAAATAAATATTAGTAATAGATACAAATTTTTTTATAAAATATTAGTTATTCTAATGTTACTCTAATGTTAAAAAAAAGAGCTGATACTGGGGAAGGGTGTGGCCACTGTTGTAAGTGGACAGAGGAGGTGTGGTTAATAAAGTTATTTAATTTATACCTGTAATCAACGATAAACTACTGATAACAAAAACCAATTTGGAAAGAAATACGGTTCATTAATTAATTAATCATTGTTAACGAAAAACGATTCTGAGCGGAGCTCGGTTATTAGTATTGTTTTTTCAGCAATATGTATGTCATAGGTACTTATTGTAGTAAAATAAACATACATTGAATAAAATTAATTATAATGAATTTTACACAGTAAAATAAATCTAATTATAAAAGTGTTATTTTCGTAAATTGTCCAGTTTTTCTCACGTTTTATCCCGGGTTTTCCCAGATATTATGAAAATCAAAAAATGACCTCCCTAAAGTACCAACTTGAATTCTAGATAATATTTCCTTTCAGAAAAGGTGACACTTACATTTTGAAATAAGATTTCTGATAGAAATTTTTATAACTGTATTAATATAAAAAAAAAACGGACATACTTCGCACGTGGGTGCAGTTACTATTGTAGGTAGGAAGTTGGGAAGTTAGGATGTAAACGGGAATTTGAGCAACGATAAACCATTGCTAAAGAAAAAACGATTCTGAGTACAGTTCAGTTGATAGTGATACATTGTCAATAATACATATATCACATTATAATAAAATAATTAAATAGGCATTACATATTTTTTGTTTAATATTATACTGATTTTCCCATGATTATTACCGGCTTTTCACATTTGCTGGGAAAAATCTAGAACAAATAGAAAAATGACCTCCCTAAGTATCTTTCCAGTCAGATTTCCTTTCAGAATAAGTGCTATCATTTTAAATCAGAACAAAATTGTTGGTGGAAAAGTTGTCCACAGAAAAAAAAGGCTATAATATTTATACTAATACCTAAATTTCGTACATTTTCCGTTTTTCCGACATTTTATCCCGATTTTTTCCAGATATTATGAAAATCGTTTGAAAAATCAAAAAATAACCTCCCTAAATTATCATGGAAATAAAATTTTCTTTTAGAAAATAAGGTACACTTAATACATTGGAGCAAGATTTCTGGTAGAAAAGTTTGCACAATAAATTGAGGGGTAATTTTGTGATTAAAATAGTTTGAGAGAGCAATGGCTTGGGTCTCTAGGTACATCTAAAATGCATTCGTTTTTTTCTTGTTTAGGTAAAACGGAAAAAATATGCAAACAATTTTTTTTTTGACACACTGGTTTGAACTTTTAGAATTATAATAAACATGAATAACCATTATATTATGACAAATATACTTTAAGGATAATGTAGAGTTATTTAACATAACTTATAATATCCACATAATATCAGAACTTCAAAAACCTATAATTTTGAAACTTAGTCAGTTCGCTTAACTCTGACTTCACCATTATTCTTTAATAGGGAATATACATACATATGTTCAAAAATAAAAATTGAAAAATTTGATTTGTTCCACATATTTTTTTCGTTAAAATTTGATATTAAAATTCTCTTATAAAAAAAAAAAATACTACATTAAATTCAAATTTTTTGTAGACCACAAGTAAGTTTGTTAATGAACTTCTTGCTGAATTTTGAAGCATTTCTGTTCAAGTCTAACGATTTTATTACAAAGTACCTACCGAATAAATATTACGTATAAAACTCTCAAAATTAAAGTGTGTATATAAATATCCCAAAAATGGCTTACATTTTTTGAAAATTTTACCACGTAGAAAAAGCAAATGTAAGTTTTTTTTCAAATTTTAAGTCCATCGAGTTCATACGAATATTTTTAACTACATTTTTACAAAAGTATTAAAATTTTTATAAAAAGCTTAAAAATGGCTTAAATATTTGGAACATTATATCTCGTTTAAAAAAGGCAAAAATATATTTTCTGTCCAAATTTTAAGTCTACGAATATTTTTAACTGAATTACAATAAACATCAAAATTTAAAAATAATAAAGGCATTATTTTCGTAAATTTCCCGTTATTCTTACGTTTTATTCTGGGATTTCCCAGATATTATGAAAACTACTTAGAATATCAAAAAATGACCTGCTAAAAGTGTCATCTGGACAACATTTCCTTACAGAAATGGTGCCACGCATATATATCTGAGAAAGCTTTATGGTCGAATTATTATTATCATTATTAAAAAAATAAACATCTTAGTAAAACCAATTACATTCTTCACTACACTTAGAATTTAAAATAAAAGAGGAAAACCCGTGTTTTAGTAATAAATAACTAAACAAACAAATAAACTATGACGAAGGATATCTGTTGTTACTATTTCCTAAGATTAATCACTTGTTTGAATATTTGTACTTAATAAAATATACTATAATCATTTATTTTTTACTTTAATCATAAGTTTACTTGGAACTTAGTGTTCCAGGTAAACTTATGTTACAAACAACTTACCCATGGCAGCCAGCCGAACAGTTATGAACGACTTTCCAAATAGTCAACGCCGACCTATCCTAATTGAAATCGGGCTCCAAATCCCACTAATTAACTCCACTCCTTACCCCAGATGGAACTTTAACAAAGCTGCAAGGGAAAACTATGCAAATGAACTAGACAAATGCATCCGGTTTATCCCACCTAAACGTTCGAACTACAATAGATTTTTGGGACTCATCATTGCTATTGCTAAAAAACACATGCCAAGAGGCTATAGGAAAGTATACGTCCCTGGCTGGAACGAACTAAGCGAAAACCTATATCGAGAATATATGAACGGAAACATAGATGTGGCGGACGATCTTCTAATCAGCCTTGATAAATCCAGGAAGGAAAAATGGAATAAAACAATGACAGCCCTTGATTTCAGACACTCTAGTAGGGAAACATGGAGCCTACTCAAGAAATTGGGAGGTAAACAACACACTAGACGAAAGGATACATCAATCTCACCGAACCAAGTTGCTAACCACATAGTAAATGTACCGAGAATGCCTTCGAGCAAGAGACACACAACTCAGATAAGAAAACGCTTTACTGACCTTAAAAAAGAATGCACCCAAATCCACGAACTGTCTGTCCCTTACTCAGAAGCGGAAATTACCACAGCTCTAGAGGACCTAAAACCTGGGAAGGCTGCAGGGCCAGATGGGATGCACCCAGAATTTCTGATAAACTGTGGTCCTAACACCAGAAAATGGCTATCTAAATTTTACACTGACATTCAACAATCTGGGACACTGCCTCCAGAACTTAGAAAATCTAAAATAATTGCTATCGTCAAACCCGGGAAATCAAACGATCGCCCAGAATACTACCGACCAATAGTACTACTCAGCGCGTGCTATAAACTACTGGAGAGAATAATATACAACCGAATAAGCCCAATTATACTAAATACCATCCCGGTAGAACAAGCCGGGTTCAGGCCGGGCCGAAGCTGTTTCGATCAAGTCCTCTCATTGACCACTTATATNTAACTCAACACATAGACCTCAATGAAACTGAAAGAATACTCACAGACGATCTAAACACTCTAGGTAACTTCTTCCATGCCTGGAGATTAAAACCTAACACCAGCAAAACAGAAGCGTCTTGTTTCCACCTCAACAATAAACTTGCTAGCGCTCAACTAAACATAACTTTCAATGGAGATGCTCTTAACCACAATTTCCACCCCAAATACCTCGGCATAACATTGGATTGTATACTCTCCTTTAAAACTCACCTCGAAAATACCGCTGCCAAACTCAGCTCTAGAAATAATATTATTATGTATTATATATATAATACATAAACTCTGTGGTACATCTTGAGGCGCTTCGGCTCACACCCTACGATGTGGTTTGGTCTACCCAGTAGCTGAATACTGTTCACCCGTCTGGTTAAACAGCGCTCATGTGTCAAAAATAGACACCCAACTCAACACTACTATGAGACTAATATCTGGTACAATAAAATCGACACCTACCCACTGGCTCCCGACATTAACAGCAATTGCCCCTCCACCACTCCGCAGAGCGTACGCCTTAGTTAAAGAGTTCTCAAAAATAAATCTCAATCACGAACTACCCATTAATAATTTTATTGGTGATGCGACCAAAACACGATTAAAGTCCGGAAACCCCCCATCAAAAACAGCCAAGGACCTAATCAATGCAAACTTTGATATGATGATGAAATGGAAACAAATGTGGGCAGCTATGGTAGAGAATGATAACATCCTAGACAACATATTACTAGGACATATACCCACAGGATTTGACCTACAGCGCAATCTATGGTGTACACTTAACCGAATACGAACTTCGCACAGTAGATGTGCAGTTCCTTACACAAATGGGGCATGAGAAAC